AAGCCTCTTCATGGAGTTTCAAGAGACGTAATCAACAGGTGGGAGTACACGGTCTCCCAGTGAGCAGTCTAAGCACTAAAACTAAATATCCCAACACAGCCGCCACTGGTCATACTTCCCTAAAGAAAGTGCCAGATTAAAAAGAGCAATCATACAATCATATTCCAAAACCTGGTCTCCAAGCTCTGCCCCACAACTGCTCTGTAATGATCCAATCTAATCTTCCCTGACACATTTTGTAAGACATAAAGCCCTGTTTCTAACAGAGTTATTAGCTATCATAAGAGACTGCAGATGAATTCATAAGTAATTCCTGTGTACACAGTGTTCAAGCCCACAGCAGCACTGGTTGCCCAGAGAGGTTGCTTGCTTGCTGGAGAGGTTGTGGAACCTCCATCCTTGGAGCTATCCAAAAGGTGTCTGGAGACAGTCCTAGGCACCTGCTCCAGGGGACCCTACTTGAGCACAGCGGATGGACGAGCCGGCCTCCAAAGGTCCCTTCCAACCACAACTCTTCTGCGATTCTGTGAATGAGTTTGAATAAAAGACATCCCTCTGGGCAGGATCCATAAGTAAGGAAGACAGAACAGGTCCAAGAGACTGTAACCCGTTTTCTGCCAGAGGTAGCTTTTGAGAGCCATAAAGCACCAGCTCATCCTTAAGAAACACTGTTTCTTGCAGGCTGAGCTTGACAGCCTCCATGGGTGAACACTGCTTGGGAATAACAGGCAACTGTTCAAAGGCAGGGCCCATAAGAGGCAACAAACAGACATCCCCGTGCCCAAGCAGCAGCCAAGGAACTGAAGAGATCTGCTCCCCAGTTGGAAACTTGGTAGCCCATCAGTAGCCAAGGAGCATGTGTGTGCATGCATGTGTGTGTGTGTGTGTGTGCGTGTGCATGCACGTGGGTATGCGTGTGCATGCATGTGGGTATGCGTGTGCATGCATGTGTTGGGGCTAAAAGGAGGACGGGAGGGCAGAGATGGTGCAGAGGGAGCACGTACACCCCAGGCCCTCCCGCGAGGCAGGCAGCCCTCGGCCAGCCGTGCGGGCTAGCCCATGGGCAAGGCACATTTAGTGCTTTCTCTTACTGCTGGAGCATGGAAGCGTTCAGGCTGACGCAGAAAAGCACAGGCAGGAGTCACAAGTCACTGTGGATTGCCCTGTCACAGCAACAGCAAGTCTCAGTGCAGGTCACTGTCTAGGTGACCACACTGTTTAGGACCACCTGGGCTTTACAGCACAGATGTTTTCCTCTTCCTGCACAACATCTCTGCCCATTCCCCCATATTTTGCCCTTTGCTTTCTCATGCTTATGATTCTCAGTGGGGATGGGGACTTTAGAAGTATTACTACAGGAATGACTAAGGGGAGAGGAATATCTTACCAAAATGTTTTCCCTAAGTATCTCCTCCATCCTTTTGCATGTGCCTTTCCAGGTGGGTGAATTCCCCGTTCTTACTACCAGTACGAGAGATACTCATAAAACTGCCCCAGTCTCATTCAAGTATGAGGATGATGAAACTCAAAAATTGGTTCGTTTCTGGCAGGAAAATTTTCGCATCTCTTGCAGATGCTAAATCAGCATTTATTCCCAGGGGAGAGGGCACCCTGATGGCTACATGCCCAGCACATGACAGCAGTTCTGAGTGCACTTCTGCAAGGAAAACTCTGGAGTAAATCCCTCACTGACATTCTGGCTCAACGTACAAAGAAAGGACAAGATTTTTGGTTCTCAACTTTCAAGATTTTCCCCAGTGGGTTTCATATAGCTCCAACAGTACCTTTGCACAGGAAAGAGCTTATTCAGAGACCTTTCCTGAATGTTTGTTAATAATAAAACACTAAAAGATTCTTTTCTGAGATGTGATTAAATCTAAATTAATATCTAATATGCCATGTATAAAAGGTGACTTTTATTTCATAGATCCCTGATCTGTGATACCCCAAATAAATACTTTGTCACACACAAAGACAATCTGCCATGCTCTCCTAAACCTGAGAAAACATCATGGGTCCATTGACTTGATTCTCTTACAAATTGCTGCATAGAATCATTAAGTCATGAACATGTATATGTCAAGTAAAAACATTTCAGCAATGTTACTGTATGTGTTTTTTAGCTCATTCTTAGACAGCAAAAACAAAAGGAATCTGTATATGGCCCAAGGCCCATTGCCTCATACTGCTATGCTTACAAAGTAACCAGGCTGTTCTGACCAAGTAACTGTGTGTTAGACAGATACCTAAGGAAAAGAACAAAATCCTTCCAATCTATTCCAGAGGGAATTTGGTATCGTCTGGCTCTTATAGCAACATATGACTCATATTGCAGCAGACACCCTGGCTGCAGCCTCCCAAAAACCTGCCCTTTGCACAATGTCCAAATGAGCTCTCTATTCCTTGAAAATACACACCTTATGCCCAAGTGTGCAAAAGCAAATCATCCTGTGGGATAGACCTTCACCAGCTGCACTCTAGAAAAGTCCTTGCCAGAGCTGTTAAAGCAAAAAAACATACTGAATTACGGGAGTCTATAAAAAGCCTCTGCTCAGTCTCCCTTTTGCCCTCTTTGCTTTCCACAGCCTTCAAGCCAAGTAGGCTGAGATAGGGTGAAAATTAAAGGACTTCCTCTCATGTCCCCCTGGAAAAGCTGGATATTGCAAGAGGTGATGGAACAGGATTCTGGTTTGTGGTCCAAGTCCCAACGAGTAACACACCAGCTGGTGCTAGAGGGAACACAGAGGGCAAGGGGGGAAAATACCAACGTACCTGCCAGTGAAGTCCCCCCAAGGAGATGTAAAACTCAAAGCTGAGGGGTTGTTGAGCATCTACATCATCGTAGTCTTTCTTATTGAAGAAGCGGTATCAGGATCAAATGACTTAGTGGGCATCTACTCGCCACCAGCTTGCAGTTCCTGAGGCATTTTCAACCTGCAGCATGCTCTGTCTCACTCTTCCTATCTAGACAACAGCATCCTGGTAGCATTTCTAACTGGTAGTGCCTTCTAACTCACTCACTGCTGCGTTTTCCAGCTGTTGATGTCCTGGAGGTAGCGGACAGAGATCCCTACAGACGTCTCCTCGCATAGTATTTGCTCTCTCCAGGATAAGCGCCTTATTTAAAAGGTATTTAAATGCCTGTGCATATATACACATTCTTCTTACACGTATAGACACACATAAAACAGATGAGAAAAAACATGACACATGAGGCCAAATCTCTGTTTGCAACCAATCTGGGCATGTGCGCTTCAGTGAGCTAAAAGCCTATATGTGATTGGAAATGGAAATTCTTCTACAGTCTCTAATTAGAGCAGAACACATTTCAGTTTTCATCTCGTGATCAAGAAGTCTACAGAAAAAAAAAAATCAATCTCTTCTTCGGGCAAAGAAATGTTGCAACTCACAAGGAAGAAGTATGTGTTTGTTACACACACACACAACGCCAACACGAAGGCTGTACCGAAAAACAGCCCGAGGTTGAGTTACTGCCTATCTAGAATAAGTCTGACAGTTTCTCCAGATTTCCAAAGGTAAAACAGACTGGAGTTTGACATACAACATGCAATCACTGCCTCGTGCTAGCAATGGGACCGAACCACAGGGCTGTTGAAGAATTATCCATGAACTTCAGGTGTCGTGTGAATCAACACACTGCCGTACTCCCTGTTAGACAGAAATTCAAGGGCTCCTAATACTACAGCATGGCACAGGCTTGAAAATAAGAGCATTTGTTTTGTGTAGCTGCTCTGTTTGGAAGGCTTACAAGACAGCTGTCATCCAGTTTGATTAAGTTCCTTCACAAAACAGGCTTCCTGGAGTGACGCCTTCAAAGAAATACATATTCATGCCTGCCTTTTAGACTGCTTGGAGTCCTGCACAAGAATTGGATATGCTTTCCAAAATATGTCATCACTGCTCGCACAGAATAATGCTCAAAGAGCAACTCAAGTTTAACTCGGAATCGTTTTTTTTTTTACTTATTAATCTGTCCCTGTTTCTTGGTTGTGCTTGGTTTTCTCGGTTTTCTTGGTTGTGCTGTCTCTTAACCTTGTTGCTCCCTTGCTTGCCCCTCTCCCCCTTGAGGGAAGAAATTTTAATAACTTTATTATGTGAGGCTGAAACGGGGCGGGGAGGAAAAAGAAAACAGCTGTGAACACCGAGGGATGAAGCTGCATATGGTAATGCTCCTCTTTGGCTTGACCCAACCTGAGGGGCAAATAAATGCTCGGCAGCCAGCAATGGATGTTATTGCTTGTTGACAGGTTTTTCGCATACTGAGACTCTACAAAAGACTCCGGATATTGACTCCAAACAAACTACACAACCTCTACAGTCTATAAACTTTTACTTTTCTACAGCTTCCCAGTCCTTCTTTGAGCACAGGTACTTTTTTCCCTGCTCTGGAAGCAGCATCTCATCCTTTCATGGCATGTTGCACCTAAGATAGATATGTATAAATCAATAAATTCAGTCTGATCTGTGGAATATGGATTTACTGCCATTACAGGCATGGTCAGAAATGTTTCCAGTTATGCTTACTGTGGCTATTTTATTCTTATTAACTCTATCAGCGCCAGCAATGGCGCACACTCGCAGCAAAGAGAAGTCCCTTCTGTACGTTGCATCTAACAGCCAGATTATTGAAAATAGAGGGTCTGATGAAGCACCACTGAGGCTCTACCAAAACTTTTCCAATAGTGCAACTAGAGCAATTAATGTCTCATAGCCACGAGTATCATACCTTGTTAGTGCCATTTCTGCACTCCCCCCAGAAAGCACTAGTTCAGGGTCACAGGCAGCTTCATTTAAGGCAGCAAACGGGTGTTTTGCTAGGACTAAGTCACTGTATTCATGGAAAGCAGGTGTGGAAACTCCTGGGTGATTTTAAAGGCACGAGCAAAAAGGGAAAAGAAAAAAGCAGGATATTATGCTGACAATGAGAAGAAATGGGAGAATATGGAAGAGAAAAGGGAAGAAAAGAAAGTGCTACTCACAAGCCGCGGAGACGAAGCCAGATTTTCTCTATTTGCTCCGGCTGCAGGTATTTGAGAGAGTTGCTCTCAAATTCTTCGATCTCCTTGGTGGGGGACTCCATAGCTGCAGGTGAGCGCGCTGGTTACAGCCCGCGGCGCCGCCGCCCGCGCTGCCCCGCTCCCGCCGCCCGCGCTCCCCATTATTATTTCTCTTTTTTGCAATGAGATCAGCTGAAGGGTCTTTCCGGAGTGGAGGAAAATCCCTCGCTGGGAAGGATGCTGCCAGCACAGGTCGCCAGGTGCCTCCGGGCATCTCCTCTCCTTGGCTCCCCTTCCCTCCAGCCTCTCATTCCCCCCATTCCCAGCTCCTCTCCCCGTGCCTGGTCCGGGCATTTTCGTGCACTTACCAGCAGCACCGCTGACAGGCTGGAAAGCTGACAAGTGAGGGGAAAGTCGTCTGTCAGCATAGCCCGGGCACGGGCACCGGGGCGCGCGAGCCGGACGGCGATTGGCGAAGGGCTGCCCCGAGCCAACGCCGCGCCAAACCCCCCCGGAGCAGCGGGGAAAAAGAAAGAGGGGAGGGAAATCCAGGGAAGCGAGCCACTCGCGCCCGGCACGCAGCTCGCCGCGGCGGCGCGCTCGTCCCGCGGCGCACAGACCGCGCTGGAGCCCCCGGCTGGGGCACAACTCACTTCAAGACGAATCCATCAGTGAAGTGCTGCTGTCTGAATCCCCCGCTTATCCCCCCACCTTCCTCCAAAACAACAAGCAGGACGGGGACGTCCTTGCGCTGAGGGGACTTCACGCCGAGCACAGTGTTGATAACGGAGAGCTCGGCGCCTTGCAGCGCGCGCTACAGGCGCCACGGTGGAAGGAGATACGTTCCTCGTACCCCACGGGGGCCCCTGCCCAGCAAACTCGAGGGGGTCACGCAGGGCAGGATAAAAGCCCGGGGCTGCAGTAGGTCACCTAGGTCCCCACGGTGCAGCCAGCCCGACCCCATGCACCTGGGGCACGCGCACCGTGTAGAGCATCCCCATTTGCACCTGCCTCTCTGCACCCCTTTGGTTCAGGTGACCGATTTGGTATTTCCAGCTCAACACACCAGTGCCGAGGACACAATGATCCCTGAAACTTTGCCCTAGCACGTTTTTTTTTTTTTTCAAGCATTGAGAAAGTTGCCTTGTGCCCTCTTGGGAAACTGAGTCTGGGGCGGGGGAGTTTGGTGCTGGGGCTCCGGGAACGCCTGACGGCTGCTTGCGGCTTTCGGGTGCAGTTGTGCACGTCCAGGCACCCCGAGGAGCTTGTGGAAGGGTGAAGAGGATGTTATTCCTCAGCCAGGAACCCCTGTTCAGAGGACTGAACCAGTAATGTAACCTCCTCCACTGACTACTTCAAAATCCAGACAGGCAAAGGAACACCAAACTGTCCTGTCCTGTCCTGTCCTGCCGCACAGAGGTTGGACTATGTCACACAAAAATAATAAAATAAAAAAGGCAGATTCATATATCTATACAAAACCAATGGGGTTTTAGATTTGAGAGCGGTTGTGTGCAACAGGGTGAATAACTGGGCTCAGGGTCTGAATACGAGCGGCTGATTTTGTGTGACAGTTTATTGATTCACTCTCTGGCTTCTGCATATTCACGAGTGCTTTTCATGCTCAGGAAAAATAAAAAAAATGCCTTTCATCCACTTTTTTCAGAAAAAAAAGTTTTGAGGTAGACCGACAAATGTTTAAACTTTTCTTTGAACATAAGAAAAAAAAACAAGGTCCATTTTAATTCTAATTCTAGTAGAATTAGGTATGCACATGCACAGCACGCCTCCATATCAGGTTCTATCATATTGAATAAAAGAGAACAGCCTATGCTGAATTAAAGTTTACATTATTAGAGTTTTACCATTTTCTCAGCATCTGTGGCCTTATCAGTAGGATGACCCAGTCTTATTAACTCATCAGCAAGACCCAGGAGCTCTGCCACATGTTTGATAGGTGACAACTAATCATTTCCCTACCCGTTATCTCCATGTCTCCATCTGAGGAGTAGCACAGCGCTACCAGCCCCACGTGGAAAGGACAGCGCGTTCCACTGACAACGAACGCGCTGTGGGAGCCAATAATTGCCTTGTCAATACTACATACATTTGATGTTGGACCCATTTTGCACCTCATCTTCCCAAATGGAACACATCTCATTCAAGGGAACCATTTTTAGCTTTTGGCACCTGAGTCAACACTCTGATGCTTGTTTCCCATCTACAAGAAATCTTCATTTGAACAGAGGTGTAATACCAATCCATAAAGCTGCTGCAAGCCGTACAACTCTCAAATATTATTTTCCATTACACTGTGAACCTGTCAGCTTCAGATTGTAAGCAAAATTCATAACAATCAGATGGTGGTATAACCTGTACGTCTGTGGCTTACCCATATGTTATTTATATGGCCAGTGGCTGGGTATTTTCCTCAGCAATGCAGGACAGGTGAGATTTGCAGAACACAAGTACTTTTCACTCTCCCCACGTGACTATTTACCATGCAAACTGCTCCTTTCAAACACCTTATGACAAAGGGACACACATAAGGATAATGGGAAAAAGTAGGTATGAAAGAAAGAAAAAAAAAATCTTATTTTCAGATGGTATCTAAAAATAAGTGGAGAGAGATGAGACCAAGTATGATAGGAAAGTTACTCTAGACTTCAAAAACGTCATAAAATTACAACAGAGTGTCATAGCTAAGAAGACAGACGTACAGGGAGAAGATAAGAAAGCAAAGTGGAGAGGAGAACACACGCAGGAAGGAAATTCTGTGGCAGGCTAGGATATCTCCACAGTTTTGGATAACTAAACAAATACTGAATGGATCCTACTGAAAGGGGCATGTGGGGGGACTTGGCCGTTCCCTCAGCCTTTAGCCTCAGTTGCTGGAACCGTGTGGCATTTTGCTCCATTGTATTTTGACCTCCAAGAGTCTTTTAAGATTATAAGCTACCAAATACAAAGATCTTGCACAGAGCTAACAGTAAAAACAAATAAAAGGTGGAAGTTGAGCCTGGGACCAAACGAGGAGAATGTAGGCAAAAGTGCCATTGCACTCCAACGTCAAGGGATTTAAGGAGCGAGCTGATACGACATGACAGCAGTGAAGTCAATAGGAGTTAAAGGCAGAGAGAGGAATTTCAGGGTTTGCAGGAAACCAGGTGATAGGCAAAACATGAGCCAGAGGAGGAAAGAGCGTTGGCACAAGTGGCACCACTGCTGTCGCCTGTGGAAGCAAATGGGAAGTCTGAAAGTACGCACAGAGGAACTGGGAACGCGCCTGGGGATGCTGCTCGTGCCAGGGACGAGCACTGCTGCGCTCGTGACACCGGGAAGAAGGAAGCTGGGACAAAGACACGAGTTTATCTGCTCCCCGCAGGCAGAGGGGGCCCTCAAGGAAGAGCTGCTGACGGCCCGAGGGGCTTCCTGCCCCGTTGCCCTTAGTGCTGCAGCAGGATTTGGGAACGGGAGGCGTCCTCGACGAGATCCCACACAGCAGTCCCGTGCTGGTAACGGGAATAAACAAAGCTCTCTGCAAGAAAGACTCTCCCCTTTAGTTTCCATTACCTCTCCATTTGGTTTGGTGTCTGCTGAAGAAGACTACGAAAAAAAAATCATTTGGAATTTCCTAAAAACGAAGTTTCCTCAACTCTTTAGCAAAATAAAAACGCCTACCCACTGAGCAGAACTTTTTTTTTTCCTTCCAGGATAACAAACTCCAATGACTAAATATAAGCATCAAGGGGCTCCCGGAAGCCGCGGCTGCGTGAGGACACTCTACCTGCGCCGTTTCTCCTACGCCACAGCCACGTGGCCAAGTGACACAGCCAAGGCCCCTGCGAAGGCCACCTCATCTGGGTAACAGCCTGGAGCCCTGCGCGCAGGACCGCGATCCAGGGAGGGCCTCCCAAATGCCCAAGGTTGGTTTGCAGAAAGCTCGTCCTTTCACGAATGTTTTTCTTCCCCTTGCTAAGTGCTAAATCCTATTTGCCATCAGCACCTTGAGGTTTATAAACATCCTTTGGAATAATTCTTAAGGGCTATTCAGCTGGAGGGGTGTTATATCAAGCATTTTTTCACTTCCCTGCAGTTTAGCAAGATCCTCAAATATAATCAGCAACAAAATGGGCCAAGACATGTCCAAGGAAAAAGAGCCATGTTTTGGGGAGTAAAAGAACAAGTGATTCCCCAAATAGTCCTCTTTCTGCTCACATCCCTAGGCGTTAGCTCTAGGAACCTCTTCTGATTGATACCAACGGCAACTCTGACTTCTGCTCATAGCACAGAGCACCCACAGCAGTTTTCCCAGGGGAGTGGAGATGCCTGTGTTAGCTTGGTGTGTATCGCCTACTTAAAATCCTTCTGTCTGTGGAATACAAGATTCTTCTCAACTTCCTGTACAATTTCCTGTTACACTGCTGCCCTTGGCTCAACAGCTCGTGTTACACACGTGACTGCATTTCTGCAGTGAGCAAAATATTTGCACTTTCTGCACATTGGATTTTAAGATGCAAGGGGAGCAACACAGGGAAACATATAAACGGGGGATATTGATATTAGCATGATATCTGATCTGAATGATCAGACGTCTGAACTTAAGCTTGTAATTTCCCTGCTTGTTTAAGAAAGTTGCTGGCCCATCAGTCTGAGTTTTTGATGGGTATAAGCAAGAGAGCAACTGGGACGGCTGTGGCTCTGCAATATTCTGAATTTGTGCAGTAAGTATCAGCCATGCATACAAGCCATCTAGCTTGCCTTATCATGAAACTGGTGGCTCAGCTTGTGGCAAGCAAGAGCGGCTTCCAAAAGCATGAAGTTTATCGGCTGAGAAACTAGTGCTACTTCAGCTGTCTCGCTCGAGCTGCTGCACAAAGACAAGGAGTCCCAGGTAAACAGTACGTCAGCTACGAGAGGCAGAAACGACACCATCTGCTCCACTTTCTCTAAAGTGCTCGACTATCATGACTGGCATTTGACAGATGCAGCAATAACCCACCTCCTGGTGCATTAACCACATCTCTAAATTGTACGAGAGCTCAGGTGAGTAAAATCCCGTTGGGTAGAACACTGATAGGAACAGGGAGTGCACTGTGCTGTACCAAGCGTGTCCCCACACTGTCCCTTGGGAGACGCAAAAGGGATTTAGAGAGTCACCGCTGCCTTCAAACGAGGTCTTGCCCGAAGTTCTCCCTGCTGCCCAGTTCCCTGGCACCAGCTCCAGGGAAGGAGGGCTCCTTCCCAAGCCGCTGACCTGCTCCCGCACCCATCAGAACACATAGATTTGGGCAAACGGGGGCTTCGCCTTTCTCATCCCTTCTTCCTAGCACAGGACTTACTTACATTCATGCTAAATGCCTCTTGATTGAGCTTAGTGCAGGAAGGCTCTTAATGGTGGGTGTTTTCCTCTCTTATTAAGCGTGCTGTTC